CAGCGATGCACAGCATCTGGAGCAATTCGGGGTTCAGTATCTTGCTCAAGGAAACTTCGACATGCAGCGAAAGGAGCTGAGAATCGTACCAACAACCTTCTGATTAGCGGAGTCACAAATGGCATCAGTTGAAATATTCCAATACTTTCTTGAATGGAACACCTGGTCATACTCCAAAAAACAGTTTGGAGTCTATATCGATCATATTTCCATAATGAGACAGTGTGAGCGCTCAAAGACGGTGAAGACTCTTCATCAGTAGAATGGTATTGAGTAACATTACCAGTATTATTTTGGCCCGTACATGCATTCACCAGAGTGCTAATTATCTATTATTTAGGATTGCTGCTATTAGATTTCATGCTGACTCACTCGTGGTGACACACCTCGCAACATCCATACAGATAATATTACACATCAAAAGCACAAGATGCAGTGCATTGATTAGGCACGGACGATATGGAAATGTCATGTTACCATTACTTTGGCCAAAATAATTGCGGTACACGATATTATCGCGATTGTGAAAATATATTCCATACTTTTAAAATGGCACTAAAACATACTGGAATCACTTTAACTTAGATTTTGTTTAGAAAAACATTTATTACATCACAGATAGGAATCTTATCTCCCTGTTCTGTATTTTGGAATCTATGCTATTTCCACACATCCAATTTAACTGTTTTTTTGGGGAGATACAACAGGCAAGCTGAACCTTCAGCCATGGTGACAGGATTAGGATTTGGGAATATCTGGAAAGGTGTGACCAAGGGTGTTTTTTATTTCTTATAATTCAGCTTTTTATTTGTTAGACGAAGTATGTGTTATTTCTTCTTTCAAAAGTGACACAGTGTTGCTTTGAAGTACTCTACTCCAGTAGGTGCAGAAACCACAGATGAAGCAGCTTTACCTTCTCATCGTACAGCTCCCCTCTCAGAACTTCAGGGGCCATCCAGTAAGGAGAGCCCACGATGGCCAGAGGCTGCTTCCCCACACCGTCACTGCAAAGACACCAAAGTTTCCTGTGAGGTCAGGTGGCCATTCAGAGTCACTACGCTAGTCAGAATAAACTGCGAGCTTGAATATTTTGTATATGCTAGATTACCTGTATTGTCTAAAAGTAGACCCCACTGTCCAATCTAATGCAATCCAATGCAACAGTCTTGCAACTAGAGTTGTTCCGATACTGCCTAAAATAACACCACGTAATTTATTAGCACCATACGGGACCCAGCCACTTAATGTTTTTCCCAGGACAGAGAAGTCCTGACCTGTCCTACTCTGAATCTGACAAACTTGTGTGCACCGCTAATCATCCCAGCTCTCCCCAGCGCCCTGTCAGCATTTTTCTGCTAGAAAAAAGCACTTTTTGGACACATGTCCTAATTCATCAACATATAATACACAAAACACAGGCTGAAAGGGATCGAGCACTGACTTTGACGCTGAAAATAACCTGTTATAGTGACACAGATTTATACTGGCCTCCTCAGTGGATACAGATCTGTTATGATCAAGTGAATCAGCTTTGCCTCTATATGTTTGAGTTAGATCTGTGCCAATTCCTGGTCCGTTACACATCTATTTCTCACCTGTAATCAGGGATCTTCTCTGCCAGGCCGAAGTCTCCCACCACAGCAGTGAACGTGCTGTTATCACAGCGCACTAGGCAGTTCTGCACAGGAAACAGACAGGAGATCAGATGTGCCAGTTGGGATGTACAACCCACCATACTGTCCTCTAAGAAGTGTTAGGCAGTCTTTTATGTAGCAATAGGCATGATTTGCCTCCACACTGAGGGGCTTTTCTACAGAGTGTGTTCAACCTAGGACGGGGTTCCAGATCTTGAGAAATGAGCCCTCATTATCCCTCTGCACTTATCCTCTCATGAGGCAAAACACTGAAAATCTCCCAGTACTAGAATGTTGCTGTGGGTGGATTATCTTTAACAGGATGCCTTTACAAGCAGCCAGGAGCAGAAGTTTGTCAAGCTATCTGTAGCAAGAGTTATGGGAGAGTAATACTTCTTCAGAGGGCAAACCTAGTATGAAAAGCCCTGGATCCTTCCATATTGTAGGGTTAAAGATCCCACTCAGCCCTTGAGGTGTGTGACTGCCCATCTTTGGGAAAATGTATTTGACGTGTACTTTGATTTTTAGTTCGGAACATCTGCTAACATGGAGATAATGGGCTTTATGAGCTATACTGCAGTCAGCAACCAGGGGGCAATAGAGATGTTTTGACTTCACTCTTGGAGAGCTGTCAGGTTGTCCATCTTTATATATGTATGTAGTCTGAACTCAGCCTTGCACAAAGCGTCAGTGAACTAAACTGCTCACTCCTCACTGCCATAGCTACAAAGTAAGAGCAGTACTGTATACAGTATATGAGGGGGTTGAGAATAACCCAGCTTGCATTTAGCTTCCTGGTTGTCCCAGCCCTGTGAAGTATCATGGGAAACCCTTGTTTTAGGGTGTTTCCTGTCATTAATTTTCTAGCTTTATCCTACTTGTGTTGAGGATGACAAGATGTTTACACATCTCCTATACAGCAAAGGGATACAGGAAAATTCTCCCTCCAACCTCACTTGTACAAAGCACCCATGACAGAATTACACAAGGTTTTGTTCCAGTGTACAGTTAGTTCTTGTAAATATTTATTGTCTGAGTCTCAGTTAGTTTATGCTTCGTACTTAACATTTGATCATTCAACCTAAACAACCCCCCCGGCTATATCAACACCAAACGAGACGGCCAACAAACACATTAAAAACAGCAAAGCTGTGGAAATGTCAGGCAGAAATATTTCTGCTTGTGATTCAGGAGTGCAAACCTCCCAATTTGGGAATGTGGTTAGGTTCAGTGGTAGCTGTATCACTAAGACTGTCTAATATATCAAATATATCAATATCTCCAGATATTAAAAATTGGATGTATTCTATGTTCTATGAACACATGTTAGCAGAGTCAGTGATGAAAATGAATGAGAACTTGAATGGTAAATGGTAAATGACTCTGTATAGCTTCTTAGTTTCCGACCACTCAAATCGCTTTTACAACTACGTGTGCAACATTCACCGCCTTTCACACACATTCACTTCAAGTGATGGCAAAGTCCATCGAACAAGAACTAACTCATTCATACACATTCACACCGATGCTTGTGGCATCGGGAGCAATTTTGGATTACAGTATCTTGCTCAGGATACTTCACACGGGAGGAGGACGCAGGAGAGCGGGGGATCGAACCAACCAACCTTCTGATTGGGGAAGACCCGTCTGCCATCCTGAGCCACAGCCGCCATGAGACGTCATGGGAGCGCATGTAATTAAATCAATTTGAACTTTCATTCTTGTCCTTAATCTTCTCTACCGTTTAACCATAGAGTATTGTGTGTCTTACGTCAGTATTGTTTGTACAGTGGTTTGTCCCATATCTGCCAACCCCAAAGAGATTTGCACTTTATTAATTGAACGGACAATAAAGTAATTGAATGCACTTGTTTCATGGCAGGCATAAGACTAATTTTGGAAACTTTTCCAAATTAAACAGTTAAACTTTTTAAATAGAAAATGTATTCTCACACACTTAACCGGTTAACTTAACCTAAGGTATCTTATTATTGCAATCCACACAAGCGCCCTTTTTCTATTCATCCTGACTTCAAGGAAGTGGTAACTGAATCAAGAATGATTCAATTACCAAGAGCGACACAAAGAACTGGAATCGTGAGAGATCCAGCATCCTTCTTCCTGTTTCGCTGTACCTTTGAGGTTAGGTCATCTGTGAAAATCATGCCCTTGCTGTGCAGGTACTGCAACCCTCGGGCGATATCCAGAGACAGTAGATCCTGAGCCCCACGACAGGACAGGTCACTGTCCAACAGCTGCTCAAGGTTGCCCTCCCCGTTAAATATATCAGAGAGGGTGAGAGGGAGAGGGGAGGGGGGGTTGGAAAATACATATTGTACGTTTAAAAGAGGAAAAAATGTGCTCATTCCGGGAGCGATGGGGCAGCCTCTTGGATTTCAATCTAGATCCTGGGAATCTCTTAAAAGGTGACCCATCGGATGATCTCAGGCACTTAGGCTTGGGTATGGAATTAGACAGTGATGATATACTACTGCCAGTCCCATAGGGGCCTCGAAAAGTGATAATTCAAATCTGAAATTTGATTCTAAAGGGCTCTTGGGTATTGTGAATGGCATTTCAAGACTGTCCAAATTTTACAAAGCAAACGAATCAATGGATTCATGGAGAAAATAACCAATAAATATTACTAATAATTGTGAAAGAGCTCCACCTCAACCACTGCACCAATAAAATCCTGCTGTTTACATTTAATGACTGTCAGAATAATCTAATGATATAACAGCAGCCACCACTTTAATACTTTAAACTACATTTTAAGTGATATATGCACTGCACATACAGTAGTAGCGCTTATTGGTGTTACTTAAGTAATCAGAGTCCTCTGGTGGCGAGGGCAGCATCGTCCAGCCTCCGTGGTAACCATAGTAACCACTGCACAGTATGTAAACATCAGCAGTTTGGGAGAATCCTTTGGTAAATTCCAACATGAAAGTATTTTGCCATGTGGTGTTTCAGTTCTTTCATGTGTTACGTGCAGTGTAACCACAAATGTACAATCCACTGTGTGTGTGTGTCTTACTTAACATTTGATAATTCAATCTCAAACAACCCCCCCCCCCCTGGCTATATCATAGCATAGCTGTGGAAATGTCAGGCAGAAGCATTTCTGCATGTGATTCAGGAGTGCAAACTTCCCATTTTGGGAATGAGTACTAGAATACATGCGGACGTGATTAGGTTCAGTTGTAGCTGTATCACTAGGACTGTCCAATATATCAAAATGTGGACCTCATCTCCAGATATCAAAAGCGAGTTGTAGAGCTGTTGTGAGTGTGTATGAATGAAACAGGGTGAAGAAGAAAGGGGGAAAGGCCAGAGACAAGTGGTGGTTTTACCTCAGTCAGAGCATGGAGTTGACCTTCATGCACACAAACGCCAAGAAACCTAAGGACAGGTGAAGAAACATGATTTAAAATATTAGAGGTTTATGATTTTCCCACATTCCCATGATCCCATCCAGCACTTCAAAACCCCGATAGGCAGGGCTTGTTATCTGTTGACTCTGGCGACCCCTGGTGGCAACAGTGAGAATTGAGTGCTGGAATATTTTTAAAGTGTGTTCATCAGGAGCCACACTCAAGTTTATCATTCAATCAAACAGCACCACCTCAGCAGCTGTTAAGACACAGCTGGAGAGCTAGTGCTGTACAGACTAATCCTGACCTGGGCAAAATCCAATCCGACACAAAGGTTCAAGACCATCACATGCACCGAGAACTTGCAAATCTAACAAAAACCTACCATAGCCTACCATTAAACCAATTTTGGGCCTTCATTCTGAAAGGGGTCACTGCTGTGTTCATTGGTAATAATAATAAGTATTTCTTATGTTAAAGCTGCAGGAGGTAACGGAAAATATTTTCATATTTGCTGAAACTTTCACTATATGCCTGACAGTAGTATCATTTTTGTTCAGAATTTTTTTTCTCATGTTCTACTGTCAGGAATAGTGAAGGTTTCAGCAAAAGTTATTTTTATAAAAATGACCTACTGCAGCTTTAAACTATAAGGCCCTCAACTTCCTGCCTCCCACTGCGTAAGTAGGCAGCTGATTCCATCACATTTCTGTCCAGCCCACAGCCACCTGATCAATTTCTCATGTGGCACCACCATGGACAATAACTGCCCACCCCAGGACTAATCTATATTCAAAGAAAACTGATTTTCTTAGCAACAGTTGACCAATAATAATAATACTATCACATACAGGATTTCTTTACACAGATTTTCAACTCCTGACAGTCAGAAAGGAGAAGATATATAACATTATTATATTATTTTGACCGATGATTCGCGATTAGTCTGGGAATAATCCTTTCTGCATCACAAATTTATATTTCACTGAAAAAAAACTGCCGTCAGATATAGTACTCTTTTACTCTGGAAGTGTGTTTTTAGATAAAAACATTACCTACCTAAGTATGTTAGGGTGGCAAAGCCTGTTCAGGAGCTGCACTTCTCGTAGCATGTTAGCTTTGTTGCTAGCCAGCGTGTTCATTTTCAGTGCCATCACCTGCCCTGTGATCCGATGCTGCACCTGGAAAACAACCAGAGAAGGTTTACAGTGAGACAGCGAGTCACTCAGACACGCAGGACACGCAAAACAGTCACAAGACACATGTCCCCAGTTCCTCAAGATAACCCAAACACCTTGTTGGGAGCAGTTTCATGCAGGAACTATTTTCTTTCTACTGACCTACACCCGCCAACCGTAGCTGAACGTCAGCTATCTCAGTGGCAACATTAATGTCTACATCCTGCGCCGTCACAGCCTCTTCACGAGGGGGTGCACACTTTTTTCTGCGCGGTGATACGTAGAAAGAAAATAGTTCAAATGTGTGTCAGTGAATGTGTTTCCAGATTCAATAAAATCAGCTTGCTACATAGTCACACTCATGCATGTAGCATGCAAGTACATTAGTTAGAAGCTAAACTGTAATGGTAAAATAATAAGCAGAGGTCAAGTTAATGGTTCAAAAACACATCAGAACCCTTTTTCTACCAATCTAGCTCTGATTCTTGAACCAGTTCTGTTCAGGTCTCAACATCAGTCAACAATAAAGAATCTTCATATTAGGAATAAACCTGAGCTGTCTGTAGATAAATAGGGTCGGCCTACCCTTCTGTATTTTAATCTCAGCGATAATGGTGCTGCTTGAAAAGCCTGATATTTTCTTAGGTGGTACGCGGTTTCCACCGAGTACCACCTAAGAAAATAGAACTGCCTTAGACATTTATACTTCATACAGCAGAGAGGCACTGTGACACAGTACATAAATATGTGCCTAAGCTGCCGGCATACAGTAAGGTCTGTGCTCATGTGTGTGACTGGAGGGGTCAAGTCATTGACTGGTAATGTATGTCTGCAAAGTTCAGCCAGTGTCTGCAAGTGCATGCATCTGTGTCTGTGTGTTTGTGTGCGTGTGTGTATTAATAGCGTGGCACTAATAGGCTTTCTGGATTTCCCATCACTCCTCCTGATCTGCACAAATCTACCAGGACATTACTGAAGCCTACAGGAGGCACGTACAAACACGCCGACACACAACGCAGAGTAAAACAGTAGGCTGGGTAATAGTAATAAACAGTAACAATGATAAACTGTGTGCATCTGAAAGTGAATTGTGATTCATTGGTGGTTCTGGGGATGGCTTCAATAAGTTCAGTGGGAAACAATCCAGGGTGTAAGAAAGTATGGATCTACCTGAGTATCGTGATATTTTGTTTTGTAATATTCTATCAATTCTGAAAAACACTGCATCCATTTTTGTTAGACTGTTGTAAACTGAAGGCTGTGATACAGGGACTGTGATTAAAACAAATGCAGATCCTGTTATGGTTGCATAAAAAAGTCTACTTTTTTCACTTTATACATATGGTGGTGTGTTTTTTACACTAGGGGTTCCCAAACTTTTGCCAAGGCCCACAAAAAGGAATTGGTTTATGGCCAGGGTCCCCATTTTGAGTTTGGTAAATGATATTATGTAAAAATGGCCCCTAGTAGTCAACTTAATTGTTAGTCGATGAGAAGAGTCTTAGTCAACGCACTTTTCAAGAGTCGGATAGGTGCAGAAAAAATAAAAACTCCGTCAAACTCGGTTCTGACTGACTGTTAGCTGACTCTACCTGGACTGGGCGCTCGAATGACAGGGGCAGTTTAAACACTACTAGAGTAGGGTCAGCTGATTTCCAGCGGCTCCGACCAGGACTCTGACTCTGGGGATAAAGACAGCGACAGGAGGGGAATGAAACGGAGGAAGAGGAGCCAGATTGCAGCCAGTTAATTTTCCAGTAACTGTTAACGTTACACATCATCCATCATATCGATCAGTCTGAAGACAGACATAAATCAGGTTTCACATGGTGACATTGTCTTATTCTAGAAAGGAGTTTACATGTTTAGAGTCGATTGGTTTATTGCCATTCTGCAACCTTTTCCTGTATTTTCTCTTTCCGGTCATTGAGAAAAGGAAGCTCATTCTGGGTGAAATTTACATTTTGACTGTTGCGATGCGGCCTGCGAGGGAGAGTGGTCAATTATTCCAGCGGTTTTAACTGATCCCCACTCTGCACTGTATAACTCCACTCTGCCTTGGACAAGAACTAGCTTTTCCAATGCAAACTGTACAGGACGGCATTTAGGCATTATTATTTGTTTAATACTGTGTACATTTACTTAACTGAATTAACCCTCACCCATCCAACATAAGGGATGACACTCTTCCTGCTAGACACTTTATTAAAAGAACATTTTTGGGAAAATTTTACTCACACTCTGATGAAAAGTCCACTATCAGTTTCACTAGAGTCACAGTGGAGCTTTGAGCTCAATGCTAACAATAAAAGTGTAGGTTGGGTCATACTGGAGGTATCTTATCTCAGGCAATCCCTTATCAACAATATGAGAAACTGAATAAATACAATGGGGACTATTGTTCTGGAAGTAGTTTGCAGTTTGTTCTCACGTGTACATAAAAGAGTAAAACACTTTTAAGAACTTCAGCATTAAAACACTGGATGTTAGCAGAAGTATTCATAAAATTTAAATATTATGAGGTACTGAATGACTTAAACACTGTAAAACCTAAAACAAGCATATCTTAATAAATGAAAAAAGTTAACATAACTTAATCCTCCAAACAACGTCACTTAATCCCATGAATTAAACCAAATGCAGAAATGAACTGTTGAAGTAAAAACTGTTTTAACAAACTTAAATGTGTGCAATATTGGTGATATAATTCCAGTTTGCTCAATTTATAGCTCAATTTATTGAAGATGACTTTATATCATTATAAAAATGTAAGCCCCACTGTGCTATAATGCTTAGGATTTTTCCATTTTTGCTTTTATTTCAGTTTATAAATCATCATGCATCCAAATAATGAATAATAAATAAGTGCAAAGATTTGATGTTAGTCACATAAAATAGGCTATAGTTAATTAAAAATTAATTCGTTACTATCTTGATAATTAATTAATTGTAAGTTGTTTTTATCACATATTAGCCGTTTCGACCGGTGTGTCATGTAATGATTTGCTTTAGCGGAACTAAAGGAACTGAGTAAATTCAACTTAAGTGGTAACATATGTATGAAGAAGATGTCTTACTTTATTCAGATAAAATTAAATAAGAAACATAAGTTTGGAGAATTGCTGCATATGACTGAGATCTACTCATTAGTTGTTAGTTCAACTAACTGAATGAAATAGGTACAATTAATTTGTTTTAGCCAAGTTACCTTAAAAAATACTTATAAATATCTAAAATCTAAATATATATATATATATATAAAAAAAATTAAATGTATTTAGAAGCTTAAACATTTTGAGTTGAACTAACTCACTGGGTTTTATAGTGAAGTATGAAGTTCCATTGAATATACAGTTAACATTATTAACATGCTTTAGCACTGGAATAAATGTAAAAATGTACAGTAGCATCCAAGGTGGTGATATGTTTTTATACAGACAGATACTGTCAGTATACAGAAGATTACAGACTGGATCATTTTTTTATATAATATGATACACAGATCTGGATACTTTTCCAAAACTTGGATACCATTGGATCTTTCTGAATACAGGTCCTTTTTGTCCAGTTTCCTCAAGACTTTAACAAGTAATATTCTATTCAACCCTGCTTTCTGATGTTTCAGTTTGTGGGTGTGAGTGTTTAAAGCTTAAAGCTGTGGATATTTCAGATAAGAGCACAGGAATGTGGACTGGAATCCACTTTGCATAAACCCTCACCCTGAGCAAATACTCCAACCGCTACGTTACATGTCTTTACTGTACATGGCCATGACTGTGGACAGATTTGGTGGTCAGGAGGTGATCATTTACATACACCTAACCTATACCTAAGGGTTACCTAGGAGGAAAACAAACACACACACACACACACACGCACACACACATACATACAGGCGGTATGTGATTAATCTACTTAGTCTTATTGGAGGACAGGCCCCACTGTCACCTTTCATACACAAGCAGACAACACACACATTCACATGCCACAGATACAACAAAAACACGTGACACAAGCACATCTGGAGGAAACCAACGCAGTGTGTGTACACAGTATGTGCCAAACTAATGAAATAAACATCAGGACGCATTAGCAGAGCTACAGTCAGGACCCATCAGGAACCAGTTCTTTGGAATCAGACCTGTGCATTATGCACCACCCACAGCAGAAAATGTTCAAGATTTCTACACACAAAAAGGACTTCTTTCAACAGCTCAACCTACAGTGCTGGTGTTTCTAATCATACAGTGATGATGTCCCTCTCTCTATGATGGTGATGACTGATCATTCAGATTATTTTTGAATCATCATTTTAGGATTCTGCTTAGCAGTCTGTAAAAACCTCCAATCTAGCAGTTCTTGGAAGTCTGTCTTCAGAGCTAGGGTTATGGTTACTGGTACATTTTATTACTCACCCAGTTAATGGATGAACTTCCTTTTAAGAGGCAGAAACCTCTGACAGGCTCTAGCTGGGTGGAACCCTTTGTCAGGGTTTAACAATAGAACACAGTAGGGCACGTCATAACTTCGCAATCCTGGAAAGTGGCAGGCTCCCGTTTAGGGACTAATAAATGACGTGTTATTTATCGGATCATGCACAGACACATATACTCGCCGATACCACATTTTAGGCAAAATCTGTGGAATTTCGGATACTGGTATCCATATCAGAACAACTCTAGCTACTTTGGTTGAATCGGCCTATACTTTAGGGTATTTGCTGTAGGTAGCAGCAGCAGTGAAACACACAAAGCCCCACACTGTAGTCATAGGGCAGATTTCCTTAATGAGATTGAGCTGCCTTCACTCCAGGGGAAGTGGTGCAGGTGGGGGGCCATGAAGATTACCACTTTCCTGCTCGCTGGGCTTTCAGATCAAAAACAGCACTGCGATTAAAAGAGAGCAAAAGGGGTTGCTAGACATTGGTGGGGGTGTGTTGCTTCAGGTGCAGGTGAGACCATGAAAGATTTGGGAGAAAGATCCATGAGTTTAAAGGTTTATCAGACCGCAAATCACTGCTCTGCACTCTCTAGAGCAATATATGGAAGAATTTTACAACTTATGAAGTTATGACAGCAACATTTACAGTTCATACAGTAGGAGGTTAAAGAAGAGGACAGGATATGAGAATATGGTGGACTGAATGAAGGTTTATATCAGGATTTGCAAACATCATGATGACAGAGGATTTGTGGATGGCCCTTTATTTAGAAATACCTTTTCAGCAAAGTCTAATTAGATGCTGGTGGGTAAACTTATGGCAATTTTTTGTTTGTTAATTACAGTGTCAAAGGTTGTTAATAGTATCAATACTTCATTGGATAGAATCAAAAACACCAAAACTATGGAAAAACATATCTACTTGAGACAATCTCATTTTCCGAGGCTGCACAAAACAGTAGGGAAGAAAATCACCCTGGTTACATGGTACTGAAAAGGGGTTTCAAGTATCATTTAAATGTTAAATTCTGGCATCCTGACAACCACAGTGGTTGTCGATTAGTTGTTGATTAGTTGTTCAGTCCATAACATAACAGAAAAAGGTTGAAAATGTTGATCAGTGTTTCCCAAAACCCAAGGTGACGTCCTCAAATGTCTTGTTTTGTCCACAACCCAAATACAAGCAGAAAATATTCACATTTGAGAAGCTGAAATCAGACGTAAAAAAAAACAACTTCTTGAAACTATTCATTTATTAAGATTAACATACTAAACTAATTGATTAATTGACTAATTGTTGGAGCTCTACATGAAAATGAAGAACTGGTGTATCTGTTTGGTCAGACAAGCAATTTGCAAACAAACTAGGTTCCAGGACTGTATTGTATATGCGGATATTTGTAAATATTTTCACATGAATAGATTGAAAAAGCTGTCTAGATCGCTATCGTACAGTCCAGTTCCTGATCTATTTGTAATAGCCACAAGGGGGAGCTGCATCTTTTCAGTCATTCCAAAATCCTAATGTCCTTTAGCCCTGACTCTTCATTCGCTGACAACTTGCCATGTGTGAACTGTTCAAAGACCTGTGGCCTGGCAGACGTCCGAAAAATATCTAGCAGGCTAAATATCTGGTTCTGTCAGGGAGCCATGCAATGAGCTACAGCCAATGAGAGCAGTCTCTCTTCTGCACCAGGACAGAGCAAGCAACCAGGTAGTACTATGTCGCATAAAACTCAGTACCGTTGCACACACAGCTGCAGTCGACTGAGGAATATGCGTGCTGTGTGTGTCTACAGTTGTTTGACATCGTTAATTGTTATGGGATATTTCTTCAGGTAGTTTGGTTTTTTGCTAATACAATGTTTACTTTTGTACCACTACAGAAATAGCTAACTGCTAAGTATGGTGGGTTGGGCTGATGTTGTTCTTTTGTTGATAATGCTTAAATTGTGATTGTTACTTCTCGGCTGATCAGTATATTATCAGCTAATTGTGCTCAGCTTCTAACGGGCATGTGTGAAAGGTTGCCCTTTGTGCTGTGTTTTATTTACTATCTACTCAGTAAATGTGTGTTATTAACGGTGTTATTAATGCCTCCTGATGAAACATAGTTTGGAAACAGACTCTGGGATTACTCCTTGTGAAGGATCCCTGTTGTCCCCTAGTGTGAAAACCACAACAACTTTAACACAGATGGGGTATGAAATGTTCATATCATCGTCTAGTCACAGTCATTATTTTAGATGCCAATGATCAAAGAGTTTGATGGAAGTAAAGGGACTACTAACTCTGACTACTGTGTTACAGCAGTCAAACAGAGCATATTCAACCAACTGAACTGTAGAACCTGGATGATTACTGGAGGATCACTTCCACCACTGGGAGCTTGCAGTGGAATCAGCAGACCGGCTCACGTACCTTGAAGACCTCAGAGAAGAAGCCCGAACCGATCTTCTCGCAGAAGAAGTCGTCGATGCGAGCCAGGCTAGACACGGCGCTCCTCAGGGCTCGGTACGAGGATGGGCGGATTCGGTTGGGTGCGTGGATGCTGTGGAGCGGCAGCTCATCCGGGCCACCGTGACCCTCTTCGGGGTCACAGAAGCAGCACTCGGCGTGGTAGTCCATAGTGCTGGCAGAGCACCACGCTCCAGAACCAGAATTTCTGTTAGACCGCAGTAGTCCTGGGGCACAAGGCGACGGTGGCTCCCACCATCGTGGTGTCAGAATGATCAAAGTGTCTTCTGTGGGTTATGAGGACAACCTCATGACCTGATAATGTATCTCTGATTGTAGCTGCTCTCCAGGCTCAGATCATCAAAATATACAACAATATAGGACAAACATGATCTGTCCTTTTACTTTAGTGAGACACATTTCTCATCAGTTCCTCGTCCTCTCATTCCACTCATTTGAGGTGAAGATGAAGAGTAGGGTCCATCATCCTCCCATTCACCCAAGCTGCCTTAGTGCCCCTGAGCAAGACCCTGAGCTCCCACCTGATGCTCCACCCTGAGCTTTGACAGCAAACTAGAGAAGACTTCAAATCTCTCTTCAAAGTCGCTGCCAATGCGGTTTTAAGAATTCCCACAGCCCCTGAACGTCGCCTCACCCGCAGTGTTGGTACGTGAGGAGGCTCGGTTCTCCTCCGTCATCCCGTTAGCTTGGAGGCGGAGATGATGGATGCTGCGGCCGCACGGTACCGGGAGAGGGTAGGAGGGCCGAGCACTCAGCTGCCATGTAAAGGTTCCTGTGGAAGTATTATGAGAGTGTTATAGCTGAGAATACAACACAGCAGCTGCAGTTACATTAGAGGGACAGCACACACAGTGGACCGTGCTCCCTCTGCGGGCAGCTGTGTCCGGTAGCCATGGGGCTAGTAGCCGCAGGGAATCTCCGCTCCGCTCCGCTCCACATCGACCCGCAGCACTGTTAGGCTTACAAATAACTACAGGCCTCCATCAACCATGTTTTTACCTTTTTTTAACTACTGCGTATTGTAAATAATAGTTTGACCCGAGCTAAATAAACCGGAGGATACATATAGCGTATTTCACCCGGCCAGTAAAATAAAAAATAAAAACTCGACTAGCTGCTGTTAATAACGGGAGCTGTCAATGACAAGCGGGGTGCAGAGGCAGAGAGGACGGCTTACCTGTGTCCTCACGTCGGTCCGGATGTAAACGTCGACGCGGTCCGAGTGCTTGAGCTGAACCGGAGCCAGAAACGTCGCTCTGCAGCCCGGCGGTGTCTGCGGTTGATAATCCCGTCTGGATCCCTGCTTCGCGAGCCGCTCGTTGGGGACGACTACCATGGTGAATCAGCCCGGAGTCAAGCTAACGAGAGTGATACAGGGGACTTCCTGTTAGAGGTTTCACATTAAAAGCTTTTCACCCTAAAGAGTCGTACATGCCAGTGGTTCCCAACTTTTTCTGTAAGGAGCCCCTTTTCTATCACTGAGTAAACGGACGAACCCCTGACTCAGTGACATATTTTATGGATATTTCATATTATATTCCAAACTGTACAATGACCCAAATAATTAACTCAGTAACTGCAGGTTTTATTTTCTGTCTCTATTATATATTTTTATAATTATTAACACATTTCTGACAAATTCTGTGTTTTCTTGTCCCTGATGCTTGGCCATTGTTCTATCAGACAATTTACTTTACATTTATTTTTTTTCACAGAAGTGAGTCAAATGCTGAGATATAGGCCTACTGCGTCTATTTTCATTTATTCTTTTCTCACTCAACAAGTTTGTGTTAAATTGTGTCTTTTTTTAAAATCCCCTCCAGGCCTGTATTAATACCATAGGTGTAGACCATATATGTATAATTAAAAATAGTCAAAGTCTCTGTGATGTCCCCCATAGGTTTCTGATGAGCCTTTGTGAAGCTCAGTGTGGTTGGATCTGGCTGTCGCCATCTTGGCAGTCCTGACTCCAGCAGCCCAGTTATCCAAAAATGGGTAAAGGGGTGAAGCGTGGGTAGAGCTGAGGTTGCTGAATGAAGCCTGGTTACTGAAAACACCCTGTTGTCACTCAAAGCGGCCGTGCCCTTAATCATGCATAACTTGAAGCCTTAACATAATGTTAAAGGGGTGAGTTATATAAAGTTTCACCCCCGTACAGTTGTCATGAACGGGAAAATAAGCTATAGAGACCAAAAGCATTTTTAGTACCAGGCTGTAAACATGTTTA